AAAAAAAGCAATACAAAACAATGCTTAAATGAATAACAAGTCATTTAATGAAGCATTGATTATGAGAGAGGTTACAGAAGTGGACTAATAGCAAGCGAAGCCTAATTCCCCTATGCTGGTCTATAGAGCAAATCAACCTGTCCAAGCTGAAGGCAGATCAAATAAGGAGTTCGAATTTTACCAAAGCCTAAAATCACTTCCCAAGCATAAACAAACATGCACCGAAATGACCCACAACACCTAATCCAGTATATCATTCACTTCGTTATAAAAGTTGTCTGGAAGGGTTTCACTAATTTGCCTCACTTAAAACCAAAGAAATATCGCTTCAAAATCTTTGTTTTTGATTTGAGCGAAGAATTCTTTGGCACAATCTCCTCACGACTTATAGCAAGGAAATCGTGATTTGCTCGAATTTTAGCGAAAAATAGTATGTCTTAATAAGGGCTTCGCCTAATTCAAGAGACACTTACAGTTTCCATACTACTGGTTAACCAAAAAGAAGACACTTTGCATTTTGGCAAGATAAAAAAGAATATTTAGAAATACATTAAGCTAGTGAATAGATTAAATGAGACGAGTTGATTAAATAAGGTTAGATAAGGATATTGAGCTACTCTTTCTGGATGCTCCTGTTGGCAAAGAAGCAAGTTGGGCAAGGATATGAAGTTAATGCCTATAGGAATTCTGCTTCTAGGAAACGTAAAATATCGGGACTAAAAATGAGAAAGTTGATTAAAATTTTGGCGCAATACAAACAAGGATAGTTAATTTTTACGGTTAACCTAACCATAGCCAATCTGAACAAAGATTATTTGTTTCCCAAATAGATCGTGATTCTCGCTTCGCCCCGACCTCAAAGCTCCCCAGAGAATACAGCCCAGTCCTCCCAGCAAGACAGTCATATTTCAGCCCCTACCTACGATATGAGCATAGAAGCACAAATATTGAGTGCATTGTGCGTCGCTTGATCCTATTATAGATAAATGCTCAAATATTTGGGTTAAAAGAATTCTTTCTATCTCATAAAACACTTATTAGTAAAATATTGTTTTCTTACCCAAGTTCTCTCGAAGCAACCAGGTCAGCACAGAATCTCTATAAGGAATGAAGTCAACCTTCCGTTTGCGTTTTTGATTCTATGGAAGAAAAAAAGGTTTTCTGATTGTAAAATGATAGCAGTTTTGAAACTCATACAATAGCTGGTTTACCGCTCAAAAAAGTAAGAATCTTCCAAATGAAGCATACTCAACACACATGCCCATCACCACGACTTCTGTCCTCCATGTCATGATTGATAGTGAAATGGAATCTAGAATACTGGCGAGGGGACTTTTATCAAATGAGAACTGGCACTGAAGATGTACTCGGTGTTGATTCATGTGGCTGTCGCCAACCCATCGAGGTGGAACGACATTTGAGGTGATAGGGTTGATTTCCGGGTAATAAAAAATAGGCCTGATTGGTCAGGAAATTCTTGGGCTGATATGCAAGTTGAAATTTTAAAGAATTTTACAATAAAATCACTTCTCAAACCCCTTTAAGATAGCTTGCCTATTTGGCGTAAGAGTATCAGAACATGCTTTAGATGAACCTCAACTCAGTCCAGATTTAACGATATTAATAGCTTTTATTTTTTTAAAAGATGCTCACAAGCTCTGCTAGACTCGAGATCACTTTTCCCAGGGTTGTCAGCGACTTGTTAATGTTAGCACCCTCTTTCAGCCGCGTGCCTTTCGCTCCAGTAGCGTCGGCTCGCTCGCTTCCGGCCAGATCAACCAAGCTGATCTTGCTCACCTGTACAGCATAGAGAAGAGGAAGTCAAAAAGTGAAAGAGCAAGAGGTGAAATCCCACAAACTAAATGCATCCGACAGCTGCCGGGCAACTAATTTTATAATTATAGACAATTATTCCATGAATTCAGCTAAGGAGTATCCAAGTAAGCGGCTGAATGTACTCAAAATCAAGACACCTGATTACCTTAAATTTGAATTATAAGCTCGCAACTTTATTAACAATAAATTAATTAGTCTGATCGAATAACGATGCAACACTCAGCATAAAATAAAATTGCCTCAATCCAAGAACCATTCTCCACATTTCTGAGCTTCTAAATCCTCTATCTCCTGTCAATAATGATCTAGGCTATCAATGAATTCCCGTTCTATGTGCCTCTCCATCTGGTTGTCAACCCATTATATGATAATATTTATGAAGATAATCCCTTTCCTAATTTACTGTTCACTCAGTACATCCTCCATGCCAAGAAAGTTTTCGATATCTAAAGCATGAGGAAAGACGAGAATTACTTCGAGACCGACTCTCTAAAACTATTCGGTAATATTTTTAGTGGGGCTGCAGTCTGTAATTAAATGCTAAAATTATAATATAAATACTTAACATATCCAATGAATCGGACAGTAGTCCGCTCTTAAAATGGACTGCAAATTCAGTCTCCCCTGCATCCTATCAGCTCTAAATCAGGGCTAGATAGTCCCAGATACCCGCGACCAATTAGAGAAAATAATCGAAGATAGATGAGGGTTTGGAGATGTCTATCTCTTAAATCCTGTAATTAATCAAGGTAATGCCAGTGACCCAGCGGCCAGTATATCCGCTTTTGGAATGGCTAGACTCGAATTATGAACCCATTGGGTCGCTCATGAGACTCTGGCAGGTTGAAATTCACAAATCATATTGTTGGAACATGGCTTTTAGGAAAAGAAGCTATAATTGCATAATCCGGAAAAACCAATTTCCTTTAGATGAATAGGGTTGATTTGACCTCGTTTTCGCAACTTGGTTGAGGTATCTGGGACTCGAAAAATATATCCAGTCCTGCGTCCTCTGCCATAGTATTAATGATAATTTTCATGGGATTCTCAGATAAGGCAGGACCGATTAAGTTTATCGAGGCTCCACTGAAATCCACCGGAATCCAAAGGAAAATTGCCTTAGAGTTTTGTTTTACCGCCTCCGTTAACTGTTCTCCCATCTCGAATAATTGATGCTGCTCCTCTGCTCCATCGAGACAGAAGTGGTCAGACTGAGGAGTATTCTTTATGAAAATTGAACAACCAATATGCACAGAATATCTAGAATGTTAGCCAGGAACTACTCATTGACTCCCTCAATGTTGGTAAAGAGTGCCCCCTGGCTCTGAGAATTTGCGTTACGACAAGATATATTATTCGGAGCTGAGCAATAATGATCCGAAGAGTCATAATATTTTAGCCAATCTCCCACTGGAAATAATAGCTTCATTGGTATGAAAATGTTCAGGGATTTTATGAAACCTTGATGTCACAAAACCACAAAGAAATTTAACTTTTTTGGTTCGGACTTTTAACAATAAATAGAAATGTTGCAATAAGAAAGGCATTTTATGGATCATGGATACAATAACCAGACAAGTTATAGACTGGCTCGTACATCAAGACGGACCACTTTTGTTTTGTTGGGCAAAATTGAAAAAAGGACGAACTGCCCCTTATGGTTGCTTCACCTTAATGATAAAGGAATCATGTGAACACACCAATTTATGTAGCCTAACGGAAGAAAAGATCTCAATTTTTGTATTAATTCGTTCGAGATAGTAACGAACAAACTAATTCCTGCAAGAAAGTTGCCAGTCCCGAGAAGTGATTGTGGATAATAGGAACAGAAACAATAGGCTCATTAGTACCGAGTAATGAGCATAAACATTTGCCTCCGAATGATTTATTCGAAAGAGTTCCTGTCACAGAAGTCCAAAGGAGAAGAACTATAGCAGAGTAAAGATGGCCAACAGCTGAATCTGTAATTAAGATGTTACAAATCAAAATAATATCAGTAATACGCATAGCGAAATAGTGACTCAATTTAATTACCCTTTATTGCATTTAAGAGTTAAAATGGATGATTCACTGAGTCGAATAAAAGGCCTGTTCTTGCTGCAAAATTTCACTCACTTCAGGTCAATTCAGGGTAGCTCGCAGTATCTACATCTTCATGGACTTATTTGCCCCCGACTCAGCCTTTGAACCCGAGCTATGCAAATATGAACTCATAAGGCTGAAAATGTGCTTCCAAGCCCAGTGGTCCTGGAATATGTCATTAAGATTGGCAAGCTGATCAAACCAGGATAGAGTCGGGTTGGTAGCTAAATCGAGATGCGCATGCACTTTTGAGATGCCCAATTTTTGGGAGACCAACGGAAAGGTCATAGTTACCCTCTTATATCTTGTGCGTATCGTAGCTTTCACTCCTCACGACATCAAGTCACAAATGATGTGCTATTTAACGCTAATGTCTCAAAATCGAGCTAAATTGGGCGAAATACATTCAATTTCCCCCGAAGGGAACGATTAAGGAAGCTGTTGATCAGGAACTCGACAAAGCATCAGTGTCAGCACATCATTTTTTCCATCTGAGGAAAATCAGATGAAACGAATTTGACCCCTATCTTCAGACAAGCTTTGAAAACCCTCATTTGGATAACTAAGAATATCAGACCTGCTTAAGAACAACTAGATTGCTTTTTTGTTTATTTGT